TGAATAAAGTATATGATTAAAGTTAATTCAATTTGTTTCTTATTAGTTTTTAAAATGTAGATACTAGAAAATTAAAACTCCATACACAGTTCATATGTATGGCTCACAGTGTATTTCTACTCAACCAGGCTCCTCCCCAGCCCAGGATCTCCAAACATATCCTGCCGAGATCCTGGTTACCCCACCCCTGCAAGGCCTGGAGTGATCTAGGGCTCTGCCTGTCGCCTGCCCCTGTTCTTGTGGAGTCCACCCTTCTAGAAGCAGACAGCCTAGGTCCAGGCCCCGGAGCAGTGCTGGGACAGAGACATCAGGAGCATAGCCAGGGATGTCTCCACAAATGGCTTCCCTCCTGGAGGTGAGGGGGAGCCAAATCTGAGATGCTGTCTGTCCACAAAATGTTTCAGAACACATTTTATGAGAATGTCATTCAAATAAACCCATATTAAACTTTCTAAAGTAACATTAAATGTGTAAGCTATCTTCACTTAAAAAGTAATAAACACTTATAACCTGTGAAGGAATCCAAAGGTATCATAGCAACATTTAATAGTCTCCACTCCCACCCCCTACCATGTCCTGCACACCCCCATTCAGTAATATCCACATCCCTCCCTCCCCCAAAGAGGCTCATACAGATAGTCTTTTAAAATCAGTTTTAAGGAGCCATAAACTGGCAAAACATTTCTCATTGACTCTTTTAGGTAAGAACTGTGTTACCCCTATTCTCCCCAAATCAAGGGCAATAAAATTGAAAGAAAAGCAGGAGCAAGAACGAGAAGTTCTGGGCCCTGGTGAGTCACGATGACTTCCGAGTTCAGGATTCTTGCACTGAAGCCTCGCCTGAGGAGGCACCTGTGCTTGGCGCTGGCACGCTGACTCCACAACACAAAATCTCTCACCAGGGCCCAATACATACTACACACCCTGCATGTCCTCCACAGGCAAATGCCCCAGGACTCCAGTGATCCCTGCTGTCATGAAATCATAAGGCACTAAAATAGAGTTGTCAAAGACTCAGCATTTAATCTGTTAAACCACAGACTTCAGAAAGACCACAGTGCAGTGGATTCAATGTGAAGTCAGCTTACTGAGAGTTTCCTCTTTGCTGTCACTGCTGTGCCATACTTGGTCTGAGATAACAGAACAGGCTGGGGAAGCCTGGGGAGAAAGCAAAGGAGCAGGAGAGCAAAGAGTGAGATGGCAGGGCCAGGGTCCCCGCTGCTCTGGTGAGGAACATGAAGACTGATCCAGAAACCGTATGGCTGAGGCATTGCAAACACTCACAGGAAGTAGGCACCGAAGGCAGGATGGGTGCTGGGACAAATGACAACACAAGCCTGTGCTCAGGGGGGCAGTCTCTGATGATCTGGTAGCCCTGGGCACCTAACTTCACTTCTGGGTGGTGGCTCCGTGGGGAATCCGGGTCAGCACTCTCAGAGCTGAAATTCATCAGGGTAACTGCTAGGAAGCAGGATTTTGTGTATGACCTCTGGACTTTAATGCTAACAGCAAGTTCCATAAGAAATAGATAAATACACACATAGCGAGCTGAACAAACACATGGGTGAGCTCGGTCTGGCTGGCAGACCACCTCTAACCTTGGTCATCATGGCAGTGGTTAGAGCGAGGCCCCTGCAGCCAAACGGCTTTAGTTCCAATTTTACGTCTGCTTTTCCAGCTGTGTTTGTGTCTCCTTAGGCAAATTACTTAACCTCCCTTTGCCTCAACTATCTCATCTGTGAAATGGGGTGACAATAGTGTCTCACTCATAGCCTGGCTGTGAAAATTAAATTGTAATGTGCTTGGAACAATGACTTCAAAATAAATCAATGAGGTCTCCAAAGTCCCTAGTCACAAGAGTGGACTCTGAGCCTACCCTGGATTTACAGGGCACTGAGGAGGCGGCTGGGGCAGTGGAAGCAACACTGCCCTCTCTCTGGCTCCCACTAAAGGAAGAGAAAGTATACGCAGAGAAGGCTCAGGAGCCAGCCTCTTGGTGGGACATTACCGTGAGACAGGAGGATGTTTGGACAGATGCAGGGAGCACTGGCTTCAGGCTCCTGTCTCACACATTGGAAGCACCTCGGTGGCCTTGCTGAGGGCAATGGGCAGTTCCATATGCTCAAGGAGCCCCCTCAAGAAGGTGGTAGCTCAGATAATGTACAGAATGCCTCAAATTTCAACATTACTTTCCCTTTTGCAAACATACCAAGATATACCTAAAATATATACATACCTAAAATAGATATACATACCTAAAATAAACTGGTGCAAAGCGGCATTCGGGAATCTTTCTCTCTCTCTCACCAACAACTGTGGGGTCCTGGGGGGAGAATTTTCTCTCTACTTGTATAATTACTGGGAACCCAATGACCAGGTGGGGAAGATTTCAGCAGCCCAGTAGCACTGCAGCTGCCCCTGCAGTGCCTTGGTACTGAACACCTGTGATATTCAGGCCTGGCTTCCAGAACAAAAGAGGCGCTTCGGGGCTATTCCAGGAATGGTCTCCCAAGCACCTGCCAACAGATCATTAGAGGTGGCTAATGAGAGGGATTATCGTCTACTGTGTACCCAGCAGTCTGCAATGCTGGGCCTGGAAAGGTACAGTGGAGGCCTGACAGCTAAGAGAGGCTGAGGGGACATAGGGCACATGCTGTAATGAAACAGAGGGGCTTGGCTCCAGAGCACCATGGGAGTGTGCTTGTCACTGGGAAACCACAGCAGCAACTCAAAAAGAAGCTTTTACA